AGTCTCTTTAGCCTCTCCTCCTGTGGGACCCATTCCAAACCCCTAATCATTTTAGTTGCTCTTTTCTGAAACTTTTCTAATGTGAAAATATCTTTTTCGAGGTAAGGAGACCACATCTGTACACAGTATTCAAGATGTGGAAGTACTATAGTTTTATATAGGGGCAGTAAGATATTCTTCATCTTATTTTCTATCCCTTTTTTAATAATTCCTAGCATCCTATTTGCTTTTTTGACTGACGCTGCACACTGCGTGGACGTTTACAGAGAACTATCCACAATGACTCCAAGATTTCTTTCCTGATTAGTTGTAGCTACATTAGCTCCCATAACATTGTATGTATAGTTGGTATTATTTTTCCAATGTGCATTACTTTACACTTATCCACATTACATTTCATTTGCCATTTTGTTGTCCAATCACTCAGTTTGGTGAGATCTTTTTGAAGTTCTTCACAGTCTGCTTTGGCCTTGACTATCTGGAACAGTTTAGTATCATCCACAAACTTTGCCACCTCACTGCTTACCCCTTTCTCTAGATTGTTTATGAATAAGTTGAATAGGATTGGTCCTAGGACTGACCCTTGGGAAACACCACTAGTTACACCTTTCCATTCTGAAAATTTACCATTTATTCCTACCCTTTGTTTCCTGTCTTTTAACCAGTTCTCAGTCCATGAAAGGATCTTCACTCTTATCCCATGACAACCTAATTACACAAGAGCCTTTGGTGAGGGACCTTGTCATAGGCTTTCTGAAAATCTAAGTATACTATATCTACTGGATCCCCCTGTCCACATGTTTGTTAACCCCTTCAAAGAACTCTAATAGATTAGTAAGACATGATTTCCCTTTACAGAAACCATGTTGAGTTTTGCCCAACAAATTATGTTCTTCTATGTGTCTAACAATTGTATTCTTTACTATTGTTTCAACTAATTTGCCCAGTACTGACGTTTGACTTACTGGTCTGTAACTGCCAGGATCGCCTCTAGAGCCCTTTTTAAATATTGGAGTTATGTTAGCTGTCTTCCAGTCCTTGGGTACACAAACTGATTTAAAGTATAGGTTACAAACCACAGTTAATAGTTCCACAATTTCACATTTGAGTTCTTTCAGAACCCTTGGATGAATGTCATCTGGTTCCGGTGATTTGTTACTGTTAAGTTTTTCTATTTGTTCCAAAACTTCTTCTAATGACACTTCAATCCAGGACAGTTCCTCAGATTCATCACCCACAAAGGACGGTGCAGGTTTGGGAATCTCCTTAACACCCTTAGCTGTGAAGACTGAAGCAAAGAAATCATTTAGTCTCTCCCCAATGGCTTTATAGTCCTTGATTGCTCCTTTTGTATCTCGCTTGTGCAGGGACCCCACTGGTTTTTTTAGCAGGCTTCCTGCTTCTAAAGTACTTTAAAAAAGTTTTGTTATTACTTTTTGAGTTTTTGGCTAGCTGTTCCTCTTTTTTTTTTTTTTTTGCTTTTCTTATTACATTTTGCAGTGTTTATGTTCCTTTCTATTTACCTCATTAGGATTGGACTTCCACTTTTTAAAAGATGCCTTTTTATCTCTCACTGCTTCTTTTACATGGTTGTTAAGCGATGGTGGCTCTTTTTTCGGTCTCTTACTATGTTTTTTAATTTGGGGTATACATTTAAGTTGGGCCTCTCTTATGGTGTCTTTAAAAAGTTCTCATGCAGCTTGTAGGGATTTTACTCTAGTCGCTGTACATTTTAATTTCTGTTTAACTAATCTTCCCCTTTTTGAAATTAAATGCCAGAGAGTTGGACTGCTGAGGTGTTCTTCCCACCACAGGAATGTTAAATGTTATTATATTATGGTCACTATTCCCAAGTGGTCCTGTAATAGTTACTTCCTGGACCAGATCCTGCGCTCTAGTCAGGACTAAATCGAGTAACACCTAAAAAGCCTATGATTGAAAGATTAAATATTTTAACTGTTTAATTTTTTAATTTGACAGCACATCAGGTATAACATTTTCATTCTTACTGGGGAGGAAGAGTTTCCTCTGTTATTTGCATGACTCTGACATAGCAGAAAGAGTAGGAAAATAATCGTAATATTTTAAACTAGGAAAATGTGACTTGTAAAACAACAAAAATATTAATGGGACTCAGAGGCAAACGTAATACCTAAAACTACTCTGAGTCTCCTCCTTTGAAAAAGTGATTTAAATTTGGAAATGTCTTTTGGCAATTGTTATTGATATAGGATGGGTTTTATTTTACCTTTAGTAAGTTATAATGGTCATGCAATGTAGTCAAATTACTGTTTTGGTAGAAACCTGAACTCATAGAATTTTCTGATATTTGTGCTTCACTTCTCAGTCTTAAAGATGAATCCATGCTAGTTTTTGCATTTATTAATTATTAATTATTATTATTAACATTCTTGCTTGGAACTGAAAAGCACAGCACAATGGATCAAAATGAACACAGAAGTAAGCCAACTGCAAGCAAATCTTTAAAGCATGATTGTCAGCCTAGTCTCTTTCTCTTGCATTTTACATTTGTGTTCTTTGTGTTCCAAATTTAATAATACTCTAGAAAAGTACAGTGTATGTTCTGATCCAAAGACCATTGAAAACAACTGACCTTTTCATTGACATGAGTAGGCTTTCAATTGCTTCCATAATTAACACACTTATCTCCTTGAATTTCTCATATTTGGAAAAGCCAAAAGCTTATTTTAGTAGAACTCATTTTGTCTTTTTACCAATAAATTATATTTAAATACTTATTGAAGACGGATAGTATAACAGATTAAAAAGACAACCAGACAAAGTGAGTACTTAACTATTTAAACATTTGCCACTAAACATATTCTATAAAGTTGGAAGTGTTCTCTCTGATAGACACATTTGTCATTTTTCTCTAATTGACCTTGAAACTTAATGATGAAAAATAAAGCTCCATTTTCCTAAAGTAGTATTTTAAAAGATTCAAAGGGGGTAAAGGGAGAGAATGTGGTCTTATTTCTCACTATTCTGTCCCTAATAAGAATGTATACTGCTTGAACCCAAAGGGGTTTCTGCATCCAACTTTCAACCTTTGTTACATAGCAGTGACCTTCAGATTGACAAGCAAGGGGATAGCCTTTGCGAAGTGATTTCTAAGAATGCTCAGAGCAGGAACATCATTCTTTTAAAATACCTTCTTAAATAAATGCTTTAAAACAAAGTCAATCATTGATCCAGGTCCCAGAGAACTTTTTACTTTAAATTTGACACTGGGATTTACTACTGAGTAAGTAAATGTACATTATTAGTCTTTTCAGTTTATTGTTTTCATTTGACAAAGGTAAAATTACAGAGTTGTGAGTAAAGAAAGATACTCTCTTGTACTCTCTGTTCAGGTTGGTAAATCTGCATAAATTTATAGACTGGTAGGATAAAAGCAATCTTTAGATTAGTCTGTTTTGTTACCGGTACAGGAAGAGAGATATAATTTATGCTTTCTTCTTTAATAATATTTGCTAAATTAACTCTTTATTCTCTACATATATTCATTATTTCTTATGGGCTTTTTTTTCATGGTAGCATACACGAACATGAAAATAAATCTACCGGGGCGATGGGCGGGAAGAATCCAGGAGTTAAAGACACAGCGCAGTGTCTGCAGCCCTACCTTGCGGACTATGTTGTCCCATCTGCTCTTCTTTCCGCTCCTGATATCAATCAAGGAGCGGGGTGGGGAAGACAATTTTCTGTCTATCACATGTGCGTACACGGGGAACAGCTGCAACTAGCGGACAGAATTGTCCTCCATTCACAGCTGCACCCAGGCAGCGGCTGAGCGGAAAGGGAAGGTAGTGCAGTCGCACTGAACACGCTAGGTCCAAGCGGTTTCAGCCAGGCAGCCCGAACGCGTGTTCTGTGTACGTGCGATAGTAGTGGAGGTGGCCTTGGCACAGAGGAATGGGCAGGACGAGGCTGGCGGTTTCCAGCTTGGCTTTGATTAGCAGAGAAAATCCAGGCAATGATTTTCCAGTCCCTTTTGCAAAGCAGACTAGAGCCAAAGCTGCTTCCCTGTTGCCTTCCCGTGAGCTACAGCGAACTTAAAGCCCGGCCACTCCGCTCACTGCGGTAGGTCTCCCTCAAGCCCTCTGGCTATCAATAAACGGACCGATGCTTTCCCCCTGCTATGCATGGGATTGTGCTCAGCCCTCTGTAGACACCCCCGCCCCCCATTGACAGCGGGGCTGTGCGACTCACCAGCGCGATTCCACCTTTGGGACAAGGTGGCTAGACCCATCCTTAGACGGTCACGGAGCCCATGAGCCTGGGCTCAGCGCCTTCCTAGGGTCCCCCTGAGGTGATTGCGGGCTTGGCTGCAGCAGCGCTGGGTGCTTTCTCAGGGTGAATGAACTGCAGCTGCCTCCCTCCCGCAGCAGGAGCGATGGCAGGACCGCCTCGTTCCTGCTCGCCAGGGCTGTGTGTGCTCCCTTCGCAGCGGGCGCGTAGCCCAGGGAGCGGGCTACACCTTTAAGGCGCCCGAGAGAGACCGAGCCAGATCCCCCCTCCCCTCCCCACACCCGCGCGCTCCCCGTGCATCCCCAAACCCACCATTAACAACCGCAAAATTGCAGCCCGCGGTCCCCAAGGGCGCGCGGGAGGGCCGGCCCCTCCCGTGGGGTTAATGACGGGAGCGCCAGCGCCGCGGGGAGCCTGAAGCCGGCTGACCCGGGCGGAGGAGGTGGCTGCGCAGCCGGCGCTGCAAGCGGGTGCAGCTGAGGTGGAGGAGCCGCGGCGCCCGCTGCCTCCTCGCGCATCTCAGTCCTGTCAGCGGCGGGCGGGCTGGGCGCAGCCCCTCCAGCGCCGGGAGCTGCGTCTGTCTCCTGCCGCCACCTCCTCCCCCGCGCTGGCAGCAGCCCCGGCCCGTTCCTCTCCCCGGCCAGCCGCCAGGGAAAGCCGCCAGCAGAGCAGCCCTGCCAAGCTGCAGGCAGGAGTGACTGGAGCGGACTCCGGGTGGGGGTGGGAGGACGAGCGGGCTGGCGAGGAGAGAGAGAGAGAAATAAATAAATAAGTAAATAAAGCCGTACCGCCCGCGCCAATAAAAGAGGCAGAGACCGCGGCTCGGGCGGGGATCGGCTCCTTTGCTGTGGCGGTTGTTTGCCCGGACTGAAGCTGCAAAGTTTAACCCCAACGTGTTGCTTCCTGATGGCGGCTGCTGCCCAACTTCACCTGCTCAAGTGACTTGCCCAGTAGGGCTCCTGCTGCTGGCCTGCTGCCTGGCAGCCTCCCGAGCCCTGGGACTGCAGCGAGGGGCTTCCTTCCCTGCCTCCGCCCGGCTAGGAAAGCCAGGCGGGGGAGAAACGGCAGACAGGTACGTTTCGCTTGGGGTCACCTCTCCTAGGCAGGGTGGGGAACGAGATCATCTCTGCTCCAGAGCTGCCTTTCATTTTAGGAGCCGAGCGTTTGCCGAACTTTGCCTCCCCCTCGCACTTGCCATTCTTGCCTCCAGTCTCTTCGATCGGGGGAGGGTGCTTGGGGTAATTGGTGTGTTGGAGGGTTTTGTTTTGGGAAGGTCGGGGGATTTAGGAGCAGCCGGGAGGATCCTCCGCTGCGACATCGGTTTAGTCATTATACAGGTACCTTGACGGAATAATCCGTCTGCTTTGCTTGTTTGAGGTACCCCCCCCCCACCTCATTTTAAGTCCCCAGGCTTGTTGCTCGCAGCAGGAGTTCAGAGTGGCAGGCGCGTTAAGTTTGGAGAATGCAAACCAAGGGGAAGTTTTTCCTGCTGCTGCTCGCTTCCAGGAGTGTGCAAACGCTTTCTCTGAAGCAGCCACCTTTTTGTAAGTACTGAACCAAGTTGTCCCATTAGGAACACAAAGGAAAGAAGCTGAAAGCACATGAAAATGTGATTCCAGGGAGGACTACAAACAGCAAGCATAGCAATCTGAAGGACTCATTATCGAGACAAGGTGGGTGAGGACAGGTAATCTCTTTTATTGGACCACCTTTTGTTGATGAGTGAGACCAATCTAGGAGATTATACAGGGATGGTCTTCAGAAATTGGGCCAATAAAAGATACTACTTGGCCCATCTTTTCTCACTAATGTTCTGGAACCTACCTTTATGAAAGCAGGTGATTTATAGGTATATGCTTTTATAGAAAATGTTATAAGAAAGCTTGTGTATTCCCATAAGTAAAGGGGTATTTCTAATCGTATTCTATTTAAGCTATATCTTAATTTTTACTTAAAACAGGCAAACACTTAAAAGATCCCCTTCCTCTCTTGGGAGGTAATTGTGTATTGTTTGGAGAGCTCTGTGTAGTTTTCCCTTACTGTGAAACTCAAGCAGAGATTCAAGTTAACATCTTGTACATAGTGTGCCCTGAGATTGCTGAGGCAGGTGATGAGTTAGGAGTGGGATTGTAGAGACATCCAGCAGATGGAGCAGTAGGAAACTGTACCAGACTGCATAAACCAATTTATCTCGTTTTAATCACAGTTGAAGGAAGAGCTCTCCAGCACCTTAGAGGCACACTGCATGTTAAAAAGTGAAAATTCATAGCTGAAACAGACACTTTATTTGAACTGTGTCCATTTTAAACATAATTATATTAAGTAGTTTGTAGAGACATCCAGCAGATGGAGCAGTAGGAAACTGTACCAGACTGCATAAACCAATTTATCTCGTTTTAATCACAGTTGAAGGAAGAGCTCTCCAGCACCTTAGAGGCACACTGCATGTTAAAAAGTGAAAATTCATAGCTGAAACAGACACTTTATTTGAACTGTGTCCATTTTAAACATAATTATATTAAGTAGTTTAGGAAAACTAGCATTTTACAGATTACTAAACTTGTTTGGGGCAAATGGATTAGTATATTGCTATTTTGTATTCATAATTATAGTTTCTGTATCAACTGTTGTTTTTCGAGATACCATTTTGCATTAGAACAAAAATCATAGTGCTGTTAGGAATGTAGTTCTACTTTGTGACATAATTACAGGAATATGTAGCAAAGCATTATTTTTTAAATTGCCGACTAGTAGGTAACTACTAATTTAAGGTACAATTGAAAGATGTTTTTAGAATATTGCAGTATGGAAGGGACTGTTTTGAATGGCTAATTGTATGTAAATGGACCAACTTTCTTAAAATAGTATACAAAGCTCTAGCTGGGGGGCTGAAAGGTGATAGCGTTTTTAGTAATTAGGTTGTAGTGGTGGTAAATCTTACAAAAAGACTATAGTAATTATGTTGCTAGCTTAGAAAATAACAGGGGGCATGCAAGATCACTAGACAAGAAAAAATAGGATTTTTAACATTGCTTCTTTTGTGCCTAAATATATTGTTACATGTAACCAAGGCAGACATAAACTGAAATGTTGTCTTTCAGTTATTGTTATCTCTTATATGAATAGCTAAGTTCACTTTCTTGATATTTACCTGAAGCTGATTATTCTATAATAAATTGTAATTTTGTATATTTAAAGACTTGTAACATAGATCCTTTAACAAGTTCACTTAATTGAAATGTTATTATATAGTATATTAATGTAGCTATTTACCAACTTTTTTAATATGACATATGGATGAATCAATCAGTTTTGATAACTTTTTTAATTGATTAGCTTTTCAGATGCTTGAGAGAGTAGTTTTAAGCATGTGTTGAAGAAACATAAATCTGTTTAAGAAACATAAAACTCATGTATCAAGAATATAGAACTGTATACGTTGTTTTGAAAGTGTGTTCAATGTATTGGTAAAGTTAGTATAACAAGAATTGTTAACTTGTATTTATTATATTTTTCCAAAGAGGAAACATGTTTTCACAATCATTGTTGAAAACAAGTATTAAATTGAATGTTACAAGCTGAATTAAATAAGAAATTCTTAAATCATTATAAAATAGACTCTGAATTTTAAGGAATTCTGAGGAGAAAAATAGATTATTAAAAGATGGTTCACCTAAAATGGTTAACATGTATGTCATAATACTTATGTTAAAATTATTATGATTTTTAAAAAGGAAACTTTTTTCCACTTATATCATGTAATTCAGAACCAACATTGAAAAAGATCCTACAGGAAAAATAGAGCACAATCCTGAAAAAAACATGATTTCTTATAAACTTGTAGTTTATTAATTTAGTTTTAAAGCCATTTCCTTAGAATGAAAGTACCTACATTAAATGTTTGATAACACCACTATGTATCTACCAAGAGACCAATTTTGTGAAGTACTAAGCATCTCCTGTGAAGTTCTGAAAGCCTTCAACTCTCATAGAAGTCAGTGGGAATTGAGAATTCCAAGCACTGCACAGGATCATACAGAAAAAAAATTGAAATCGGGTTTATTCCTCTTTTAGAGTCTTCATTCAGAATTCCCAGTGGAGAATATCTATAAACAACTCTTCTCTATATACTTATTATGTTCCACAAATTCCTTCTTCTCTATTCTGAATACTAAAATATTCAAATTATTCACTGAACTTTAGTTTCCCTCTTCCCCTAAATACTGTTAGTGTCACATTTCTGTACTCTTTCAGTTCAGTTTTAAATAGCTCTTTTGATTGTGCTATACATATCAAATTGTCCTAACATTTCTGAAAAGTTCTGTTATAAATGAAGCATTTTAAACTCATAAATATGGAAGTAATCTGTTTTTTTTTAATATGCATCTACTCTTCTTTTACCTAAACTTGCATAGAAAAAAAATGTTGAGGATAATTTTTTGGATTCTTTTTGGCTTTGACTAGTTTCTCACTTGGAAAAAGTATGTTTTCACAGAACTGTGTGTTTTAACTGAATAACGTAGAGTATTGGTGTCCTGACATGGAGTTTTTGATTGTGTCTTTTATGTGATAGAAGGCGAGGAAAGTGTAAAGAGTTTGGAGAACACACACACGAAAAGGAGGCTATTTTCCACAGTAAACAAAGTGGCACATATTTAAATGTTGTGTGAGAGATGCAGCTGGCTCTGGGGACCTTGGCCTTGCATGACTAACAAAAATTCAGCACCTAATCTTGAATTCCAATGATCTTGATGTTATCTACAGTGCAGTTTTTTTACATGAGCATCAACAGTTCCTCTGATAAGCACAAACATAGTATTCTTCAACATCAGCTGTGTATCTTTTCCTACTAACTTTTTTGCCCTCTTATAAAAAGAATACAATGCTAAAAGATACCCACATACCATATATCCCTGATTTCTCTTCTGTTAGTTATATATTACAGCAGTTACATTATTCAGGCCAGTATTTTCTTTCAATTCATTCCATTCCCCACCACCACCCAAAATGCTTCCAAAGATTCCAATCCCATTTACCAAATATTAGTATCTGCACTAGTAGTATTTTGCCTTACTAGTTATGTTCTTTAGACTCCTAAACTTTCTGCACCTTGTAGTGTATGTGGTGTTCTTAAATTGATAGACAACTTGTAACACTTCAGCAACATGTGTAGAGAGCAAGGGACTTTAAGGCATTAATACATTCACTTCTCATATTAAAACAATAAATTTTGAGGCACCGTGTAACCTATTGCACCTCTATAGCTAGGTAAATGATGTATTATAGAAAATGGTACATGCATCTAACAAAACTCGAATAGACTTATGACTAGCTTCTTAGAAATAGGGTGAATGATTACTTTACAGTCTTAAGGTGTGAAATACTTCTGAGTGAGGAGTGTGAAGAAGTTAACTTATGCAGCAACTGTTAGCTAACTGTGTTTAAACTAGCAGCAGTATAACTTTACTGACTGCTAAACAACTCATCAATACCTTGCTTAAGAGGTATAGCATACCAGTATGGTTAAAGCATCTATCAAAATTGTTGTTGATTGAGAATATTTTAATATGCAAGAATTGACATACAGATTTAATGGAAATACATTTGCTTATTTAAATTACATTATTTAATTGAGGAGTAAGGGTAACTTTTGCATATGGACCTGTTACACAATTATATGTCTGGAAGGGTAACTGATAATGATAGCTACTCTAGTCTGAACATTATAATTAGTTAGCATTTTTCTACACAGGGGCAACTGAGCTTTGTATAGCTATTTATAATGTGTTAAGCATTTTCATTAAAATGTAACATGTTTTTGTTCAGACTTTAAAGGGGGCATCATTATCTCCTGTTAAGATTACTTTAGAAATTTAATTCAATATCTTCTTCCTTGTAACTTAATACGTTTGCAAAGTCAGAATGTATTTGCAAAGATTCATTGACGGTTATTGTGTCTTAAAGTGTGGAAAATATTTATTTGAAGCAGGTAGAGAGACGGAGAGATCAATATGCATTACATCTTATCCTACAAGAAACATGAGCAAGCCAATCAGGATGTCAGATTCATTA